ACAGGAAATGACTGACCGTTTACGGCTTAATCTGGTAATCCCACCTGTTGTGCAACCGCACAATCGCACAGATAAATATGCTGCAGTACAGGAACATTTCAGGCACCCCACCGCTTGCGTGCGCGAGCGCTGCCCGTGGGGGCACGCATGGGCTCATTAACATTGGTCATCGGACACCTCATGAGGTTCAGGCTGTAAGACTAGTTCCAAATTCCACTATTAATCCTGCTGTTATTGGTGGGATTTTATTGTCCGAAACTTCTTCTTTTGGGAGTTGTTGTGAAACTTACAGAGGTAATGTCTAAACCACTTCCTTGTTTTTCGTGACCTTCCCATTTCTCCTCAATATTTTTCGTTTGTTGTTATTTTTTTTAGTTAATGAGGCATACAAAGGTGTATTCTATTTATAATACTAGCTTGCATAACCGGCTATGCTCGGCTGTTTCAGAGTGATCAATGACACTTTGTTTTAAGATAATTTTTTTCTGGAAGGAACACAGTAGATTCTAAGATTTCCAGCATAAGAATTCTCTCTTAGCAAACCTAGGCTGAAAAAAAATTTCCAATACTGTTCAGCACATTAGCCATCTTTGCATCAATAGGTGGCAACACGAAAAAACCACGAAATTAGTAGATACTGTCTCGAATGAAATTGTACTCACAATCTGCCTGTTAACAAACCACTGTTCACCAATTTCCAGTAATTCAAAGCAAGAGACCGCCAAATTGATGGAATAAATTGATAGACCTTTGAGTGATTACCAAATTCGTAATCAGCTTACCAAATTACTTCAGTACATCAACTCTCAGCTCCTCAAAAAGAAAAATGCAAAAAATCAATAAATCAGTAGAAGATCAATGAATTTTCAAGAGGATATCAAATTCGTAATTGGCATACCATATTACCCCAGTACATCAACTCCCAGCGTCTTTGCCCAGAAAGTGCGAAAAATCAATAAATCAATAGACTCGACAAACAAATCTTTAAGTGGCTATCATATTTGTAATCAACATATCAACTTATCCCAGTGTACCAACTCTCAGCTATCTAGAACGAAAACTGCGAAAAAATCAATAAGTCGATATTTGATAAATCTTCAAGTGGCTACCAGATCTGTAATCAGCATATCAACTTACCCTAGTGTACCAACTCTCAGCTTTCTAGAGCGAGAACTGCGAAAAAATCAATAAATCGATAACGTCAATCGATATTTTCCGGGATAAAGTGGCCTACTTTCTCCGCAATGCTCCAAAGTGTATGTGTGTGAAGTTTGGTCCAGATCGGTTCAGAAACAAAGATTTGTATTCGGAACATACAAACCGCCTAGATGCTCATGTACACTTCATTAGAAGGACAAGTACAATCATTCTTTTTGAGATAGTGGCAAGTAACTAGAATTAGACTTTGTGTACAAAAGTTATACCTCACAGATTCCATGTCACACGCATCGATATCGCTGGCGAGCCATCTATCTTGATACTTTCGTTATGACTGATGGATTTAAGACTAGAAACATTGAAGTCGTAAAACAAAAGAACACAAATGACACAAACTTGCCCCGTTACTCAAATGACATAACTCTTTTGAAACCATTTCCTTTGCGTGTGGCACTACGAGGGGGCACGAAGGACAAATCAATATGCTCATAGTGTTTTAGCATTCCCACTTTGATGTCCCACAGAAATACCTATCAATTCTGTCAATGCAACCCTTTTCACCATGAGCAGGAGCTTCCCACTCAAGAGATACCCCGAAAAATAAAGTTTTTTTTTGCTTTTATCTTAGATTGTCAGCCATATAATGCTAGAGATTATAGCATTTTAAAAGCGAAGATCCCGCTCCGAGGGCTCTTTGCCCTGAATCCGCATTGCACTGCTGAAATGCGCGCGCGAGCGCATAGGAACACATTAATGGTTTACTTGAGCAGTAATCCTCTTTTGTTTCTCATTCTGTCTCATCTTCAATAAGAGAGGGCACCAGGCGTGTTTTGAACGGCAGAAACGGTGGAGTTGGAAGCGCACAGATTGGGAAAAAATAAGCCCAGAAACAGTTGCCTTTGAC